TATTTTTCTTACCTTGAAGTAAAATATTCAAACCCAGAAGCTATAAAGTAAAATATTGACAATATGACTATGTTAAACATTTAAGACTATATAGTAATATACATATAAAAAAATTAAAGGACAAGTATAGAATAGGAAAGTATTTGCAACACATCTAAAAACGGGTTAATTTTTTTTTTTTAGGGAAAAATTCTACAAACATTTAATCAAAAAATGGATAAAGAATACCAAAAAGGCATTTAAATCTTTTTAAAAATAACAGAAGTAGGCAAGAAATATACAAAAACAGGTTTAGTTTCAACAAAAAATAAAGGAACAATTAAAATAACACATCATTGTCACAATCAGATTAATAAGTATTAAAAATATTGGTAATATCAAGTATTGGTGACTGTGAAAGGAACTGGATATTCATAGACTCTTTTTCTTCATCTTCTCAAACAGTCCCTTTAGCATATCTTGCAACGCTGATTTGGTGGAAGTGTGTTCTTAGAGCCTTCTTTTGTCTGGGAAACTCCTTATTTTGCCTTCCATTTTAATTGAGAGCCTTGCTGGGCAGAGCAGTCTTGGTTGCAGACCTTTGGTTTTCATATCTTGGAATATTTCTTGCCATTCCCTTCTCGCTTACAGTGTTTCTGTTGAGAAGCCAGCTGCTAGCCATATCAGGGCTTCCTTATATGTTACTACCTGTTTCTCCCTTGCTTCCTTTAGGATTCTCTGTTTGTCTTTGATATTTGCCATTTAATGATGATGTGTCGTGGAGTGGGCCTCATTGGGTTCCTCTTGAATGGGACCCTCTGTGCTTCCTGGACTTGTGTAACTTTTTCTCTCCTCCAATTAGGGAAGTTTTCCATCATTACTTTTTCAAACAGTTACTCTGTCCCTTCCTCATCCTCTTCTACTTCTGGTATCCATATTATACGGATATTATTACATTTCAGGTTGTCCTGAATTTCCCTAAATGCCTCTTCATTCTTTTTTGAGTCTTTTTTCATTTTCTTGCTTTTTCTGGAAGCTTTTATCTACCTTATCCTCCAGCTCACTGATTCAATCCTCTGCTTCATCTAGCCTTTTGATTCCTTCTACTGTGTTCTTCAACCCAGAAATTGTATTCATTTCCTCTTGCCTCTTACCGATAGTTTCTATGTACTTTTTCATGCTGATATAGTTTGCAGTAAGTTCCTCATAGTTACTCTGTAGTTTTTTGTAATTCTCTGAGCTCACTGAGCTCATTGAGCTTCCTTAGGACCGTTGTTTGGAACTCAATATTTGATAGTTTACTTGACTCTATTTATTTAGTTCTCTTTTGGGGATTCCTCCTTTCCCTTCAAGCAGAGAGTATTTATTTGTCTTCCATTATTTGTGAGACTCTTCTTTTTTGTTTCTGCTTCTTAAATTGATCTGTTTTGATTTCCTGATTTTATGGTATAAAACCACTGTTTTTTCTTTCTGGATCTGCCTCTGATGATGTCAACTGTTGACCCTGTCTGACCTTAGGCAGTCTGTTTGAGACTTCCAGGAATCTACTGTCTGTGGCCATCTCCTTGAGTTGTTAATCTAGTCACTCTGCACTCAGCAGTCAGGCTTAGACACCACAGGGCGGGTCAGAGTCCCTCCTGGTGGTGGGGTTATTGGATCCTCTCAGGCTGCCACCGCTCAGGGGCATGGTCTGCCTGAACCAGATGGCTGCTGCCATATGGGGGAGGAATCAGTACCCGGATCCTGCTGGCTACTCTCCCAGTTCTGTCCCCAAAGCCTCCATCTCCAGTCTCGCCTCAAGTGTCTCTAGACCACTCTGTGCCCCCTGTAGCCAGGTATCTAATATCTGTGACTGCCACTCTGTACTCAGCAGTCAGGCTTAAGCACCACTGGGCCAGGACAGAGCCCCTCCAGAGGGTGGGGCTTTTGTGTCCTCTCCCACTGTTGCTACTCAGGGGAGTGGTCTGCCTGAACAAGATGGCTGCTGCCGTTTGGGGAATGAGTCAGCACTGGTTTCCTGCAGGCTACTCTCTCCATTCTCTCCCCAAAGCCTCCTTCCCCAGTCTCTCTTTAGGCATCTCTAGCCCACTCTGCCTCCGTCTTTGCTGGAGACCAGGGTAAGTGGCAGTTAGGTTGTACTAAAGCTGATTCTTCTGTCTGTCCGAGGTTGTAAGGCTCCTCTCTTACTATTGTTCAGTTGTTTGTTCCAGGTGATTTCTCCACAATTTAGCTGTAATCCCATATTGGTCCTGGGAGGAGGTCAGTGTGACTTCCATTCACTCCTCCATCTTGATTTTTCATTGTTCTTCTTGATCTTAAAGAGAATAGTTATATTATTTCACTGTTGTTTCCGTTTACTTTTGATTCCTTATATGTACTTCATATCAAGTTAAGAAAGGTCCTTTATATTCCTCTTTTCTAAAAGTTTCTATAATAAGATTTTGACTTTTATGGAATGTTTTTTATTTACCTAGTAAACAGATCATATGGTTTTCTTCTTTAATATGTTAAAATGTTATGTTAATTAAGTATAATATTAAAATAATCTTGTATCCCTGAGCTATATCCAACACTTATTAGTTTTGTTTATTTATAAAACATGTTTTTTAAACCTTTGCTAGGTTTTTGTAGCAGCAAGGAAAACACTTACATCACCTGTTTCAAGGAGCATAATTGACTGACAACCCCAGCTGAGGGGAGCAGTATCTGTGGGGCTTGGCTACAGATTCCCCCTCACTGACAGTACCTCACTTCTGAGTGCACAGGTTACATCCTGGTCAGCCACTGATCTGTTTGAGCACAGAGAAGCCTGTCTCCCGTGCTGCATATTCAGAGGGCCCTGCAGCCTTCTCAGGTCCAGCCTGATGGTCTTCAGAGCACATTGCTGTAAATTCTTTGTCGAGGACACAAGCTCCTGTGCAAGGACACAGGTCCTCAGGAGCTGCCCGAACAAGTATTAAGTGCTACTGCCACTTCAGTGAAAGCTTTCTGTGGTAGGGTGGAGCCAGCCTGTCCCTGTACTTTGAAAATGTTTTCAGGTTGTAATGATGTACGGCACAAATAAATTTTATTTCTTCCACCAATTCAGTGTCAGAGAGAGCCCTTTGTGCCAGACACAGTCAAGGGAACAAAAAACAAATTTCCAAAATTGAGTCCTCAGTTCTATACATTCTCCATGTTACAGGCCTTTTTTTTTTTTTTTCCTTAAATGAATACCACAATGTTCCCTAATAATGACCACTGCTCCAATGTGCAGTAACCAAAACACCACATTGCCAAGAGAATCCCCCTTATCATCCTTTATCTCACCACCTGGATTTCTTATTCCCACTGTCAGACCCCCCTTCCCTCCCTCCTGACAGTCACCAGTATGTTGATCTCCACCTTACCCAGCCAGTTTCTCCTTGATATTTCCAATCAGTCCAGCCCACATCCCTGTTCATGGAGCAGCATTGACAGCTTCAATGTTTTATTTCTGACCCTGTCAGAAGGAAGCAGAAGGAGGGCCGGTGGGGCAGTAAATAGAGCCTACAGTAGTGGACAGTGATGTCCTTGGCCTTCATGTTCACTTGGTACTCATTCACTGACACCCAGAGCAACCTCCAGTCCTGCAAGTGCACTCTGGAGGTATAGCATTTCTTATCTTTTATACCATATTTTCACTGTAACTTTCCTATGTTCAGATATATTCAGATACAAAAATACTAGTGTGTTACAATTGCTACTGTATTCAGTACAGTAACATGATGTACAAGTTTATAGCCTAGGAGAAATAGGCTGTACCATTTGGCCTTGGTTTGGTAGGCTATACCATCTAGGTTTGCATAAGTGTGCTCTGTGAAAAACAATGTAGCCCAAGGATGCTTTTCTCAGAACGAATCCCTATCTTTAAATGATGCATGACTATAGCCAGTTTCCTAGTAAGAAGGGATGAGCTAAGAGAACTTAGAAGAAACCACCCCTGCTAACAACTTGATCTTGGATTTATAGCTTCCAAAGCTGTGAGAAAATACATTTTTGTTGTTTGTGTCACGGTTTGTGGTGTTTTATTATGGCAGCCCAAGGGGATTAACGCAGTTTGTTTAGCTGAAGTCTTGCAGGTTGGAGAGCTTTCTTGCAGTGTCTGCTTTATCTTTGCTTCCAGAGTGAAGCTGTGCCTCCCAGCCCCCCTCCCCCCAACACACACCACATTTACTCCCTAAGTGTCACAGCCTAAGAGGTTTAGTCTCCTAGCACCTCTGTTGGAGTCTGGTCTTGGGAAGATGGGTCCCACATTAGGCATGCTGTAACTAAATCAGACCTTTGTCTCACTCACCTGCCTCCTCTTCTGTCACTGCTGTGAAAATATTTAGGACTTCATTTTCATGTTATTTCCATGGACTTCATAGTCCCCTTGGTAGCTTTTTTAAGACTCAACTTTTATGTCATTTCTCTCACTACTCCCTACTTCCTTTTCTTTTAATCTTGGATTAATGTTGTTATAAATAAAAGAACCAAGCATTAATCTTTGTTTCACCATTAACTGGTGAGAACATAGTTTCTATTAGCTTTTCAAAATGGGAGATAAGGAAAATGCTAACAGTATAATTAAAGCTAAAAACAAAAGACTTAGATTTGAATTCCTGAGGTGGGCTACTGGGAGGCTTCCCATTAAGTGTTAATTTGTGACAGTCACAGAGAAGGGAGGCCAGCCCATCTTTCCCATTTCGGGGAGGTGGATTTAGAAAGACCTGTTAAGACCCAGCTGAACTCATTTTATGAAGAGACCTATTATCACTTTTGTACCTTATTTTATTATGTATCTTTTATTTGCAAATAAACTTAATTAAAAAACAAAGCCTACCTAAAATGATCACAAATAAGAACTATACCTCAAACATAAATCAGTTGAATTTATTAAGTTAAACTTGATTTTTTTGTGTCAAATTAACATATAGGACCCACAATATTTAACTAAAAGATAGAGTCCTCTAAAATTTAGAGAACTGCGTAGATATTATCAAATAATTAAGACAACAAAAGAGTTTTCCAAAGATTTATTGAAGCAGAAACGAATTGGTCAGACACTGGTTGGAAAAAAGCAGTTTTTATGGTATTCAAAAATACTTTTTAAAAAGTATTCTAGCACAAGGCTTCTTCGTAAACTAGATTATGTTGTAAACTTTTTTCTAAATCTCTTAGGAGTGTTGGTTCTTAAGAACTAGAGCTTATTCCTATTCCAAATCTATCCTGCGCTCCTGAAAAACTGCAGAAAGGCACTTGAAAGCTGTTTCTTTAAGATATGGATTTCTTTTTTGTTCTTGCTGGTAATAAATTGCTCCACTGAGTGTCTGCGATTTTCATTCCAGATCCTCATGATGCTGAGAAGTTTCGTTGATGACCTGTTAAAAAAGATAAAATTCAAATCAAATATAATACCACATGCTAAAGATTAGATTACCCCATTTAGCTTGGCAAAGAAAATCCTACTAATTATATACAATTTATTGGGAAAGTTGGAAGGTTCTCTTGGTTCTGCATGACAAGGGTCACAGCTGGGGGGACAGAGAGTATATAAAATGCTCTTCACATATAAGCAAAGTAAGTATCCAAAGGAATGTTATGACTAAAAAAAAAAAAACAACAAACCAAAAAAAAAAAAAAAACAACCCTTGGGGGGGAAAAAAAACCTATACTTATGAGGAAGGATGCTGTAGTAATTCTATGCAGCAAAGTTTAAAAGCAATTAAGATATTTTAAGTTCGTGTGCAAGGGAAGATTACATCAAGATTACAGTATATTTTGACCATTTCTAAGTTTTTTGTGCACTTTTAAGTTTGTGTGCAACAAAGATTACAGGAGGATTACAATAAATTTCAACTACTTCTTTCCTAGCACAGAGAGGTAACTAGAAAACTACTTGATCATATGGCATGTCTTTGTATTATGTAACAGGGCCTAGGGGTGTTCAGGGAGGCCGTATGTCCAGGATCAGACATTTCTGCAGTCGAATGAAACAGTTCATAAAGCTAGTCTAGAAAATAACTTAAGGCAGCTGTACTCCCATTTTAAATTAAGGACCATAGAAAAATCACTAATTTCAGACTGTATAAAAGGTTGCCTTCTCACTTTCACACCTAGGGCCCAAATATTTGGCTGGCCATGTATAGTGCTGGAAGAAGCAGCCTATTCTCTTTCTAGCAGCCACAAGAGAAACTGAAACCTCCCCAATTAGATGGCTGTATCTGCACTAGACTTACTGATTTATTTAAAAGGCTATCATCGCCTATCTGAGATTACTCTAGATTGGATTTAAAGATACCAACCTGTCCATCTCTAGTTTCAACTGTCTTAATCAGAAGTGTCCTTTTTGAGTGGGTGTCAACCAGAGGAAGTGAATCCAGGTTGGTTTCTGAATAAGGAAAACAGGTCCAAAATGAGTAAAAAAGAACTTTCAAAAAGACAAGTAACCATTTTTCCCCAAAAGTTATGATTTTTGTTCACAATTGTTTAAAGATACCGCTCCCCAAATAACTCTGAAGACTATCACCTACTTTAAAACCCAGTCTGACACCACTGCAGCATCAGGACGAGATAAACCACTGCAGAGTGTGCTCCCTTAGGAGGGAGTCCGATGGCGTTTGCGCAGAAGGTAAGGCAGTTTGGACTATCACGGACTTTTTATAGAACTTTTGTATGGCATTTTTTGAGTATCATTTTTAAAATGAGTGCTTTATAAACGGAATGGTAACAAGTTGCTGAAATTTTTCATAAATGGCAATCAAATGCTTACCCCTCAAGTTCAGGGAGGAAAAGTTGGGAAGAGGCAGAGAAATCCTACAAAAGATGAAGAAAATCCATAAAATGTTTGAAAAATAACACTCTAACAAGAAACAAATTTATACACTCTAGTTTTCATCAAATAAAAAAAATTTACTCTTGTATTTCATAAATGAGGGATTAGCTTCACAAGCATTGTCTCCCGATGGATCTAATGAGCATATTTAAATATCTTACTGCGTTCATTTCTCTACTGGAGCATGAGCTGGAGGCCTGATAGAGTGGGAAGAGCACTGACTTTCAGAAAGTCCTAGGTTCAAATCCCAGCTCTGCTACTGACTGACTGACTAGGACAGGTTACTCAATCTCTCTGAACCTAAGGTTTGTTATTTATAAAAAGTGGTAAGCAGCTACCTTGGAGAAATCTAAAGAATAAATGAGTTACTATATGTAAAATGAGTGGCATGACACCAAGCAAACGGCAGCTGTTAATTCATGCACACATGTGCCCTTATTTTATACCTGCTCTCCTCGCCTTCCAGCAGCTTCCTGTAGGTGGCAATCTCGATGTCAAGAGCCATCTTAACATTCAGCAGGTCTTGGTATTCACGAAGGTGACGAGCCATTTCTTCCTTCATGTTTTGAATCTCATCCTGCAGGCGGCCAATAGTGTCTTGGTAGTTAGCAGCTTCAACAGCAAAGTTCTCCTCCATTTCACGCATCTGGCGTTCCAGGGACTCATTCTGCAAGAGATGAGAAAGGCTTCCAATGTTACTTTCCAGAAAAACCCAGCTATTCCCAGAACCATTTACAGACCACTTGGAACCATTTCCCTTAGTGGCAAATGGTAAACCCTCCGATTTTAGGTGGAGAATACAAGACCCAACTCCCTTTTTTGAAAGAAACAATAACATAAGCTAAAACCTTCAGGTCACAAGTGCTTTTTGAATCTGTCTTGACAACTCATTTTCTTTGGATGAAAATATCTATTTCTCTTCATTTTAAGTTTTGTTTAAATGTCACTGTGTGCTTCGTCAACTGAATGGGTCCAAGTGGGTTATTCCTCGTCTTTTACTGCAGTGTGATACTCACAGTTCCTTTAAGCGCATCCACTTCGCAGGTGAGGGACTGCACCTGTCTCCGGTACTCATTTGACTCCTGCTTCGCCTGACGCAGGGCATCATTGTTTCTGTTAGCAGCCTCAGAGAGGTCAGCAAACTGTCAGACAGAAATTAGAAACACAGATCATCTAAGTGACTTGATTCTTTCTGTTTAAGATTCTACCTTAACCAAATTAGCAAGCTTAAAGATCGCAAACAAAGGGACAACACAAACCAAGTTTTATATTTTAAGTTCAAATCTCAACATCTGCCAATGTATGTTTAAATTTGTTTTAAAAACCAGATAAAAAGCAGTGCAATGCTGATGCTGACAGTTTCAAGTAGAAATTCACTCTAGTGCCCTTAATTTACAAGGGTGGAAGTCAAGAGCATAGTGTTGGGGTTTACTTGGAGGTAGAATCAAGGAAGAATAATGGGAAGGGAGCCTGCCATGAGTGATGGAAAGGCTGTGGCAACAAACAGAACTCCAAATTAAAGCCTGCTTTCTGACTGGAGTACAGGGTATTTAGGAATCAGGCAGGTACAGTGTTTGCCGAGTAAAATCCATTCCTTTTATTCTAGCCACACTGGATTTTTTCATACCTTAGACTTGTACCATTCCTCAGCCTCCTGAAGGTTCTTGGCAGCCACACTTTCATACTGCTGACGTACATCACGCAGGGCAGCCGTGAGGTCAGGCTTGGAAACATCCACATCAATTTGGACGTGCTGCTCCTGAATCTGAGCCTGCAGCTCCTGGATTTCCTAAAGAAAGAACAGACCGAAGATCAGCCACGCCGAGTACGGTATCAGCTTCACCCACATTTATTCATGCACAGTGGCTCCGTTTACCTCATCGTGGAGTTTCTTCAAAAAGGCAATCTCTTCTTGCAAGGATTCCACTTTACGCTCAAGGTCAAGACGTGCCAAAGAAGCATTGTCAACATCCTATTTTGAAAAGAGAAAAGATGGGATGTGGAAGATGCCCAAGTCTATGGCTTATCTCATATATGTATTTTAAATTAGCCATATGTGCTTATGTCTTTACTATAAAAAGGATGCCGACAAATTTATGACCTTTGAATAAGTTTATAAATCACCCAGTGCCCAATATACGATTTTTTTCTTTTCATTAATAAATGTGAATTGTGACCTACTGTGTTATATTCGAGGTAGTTAACGATTTAAAAATAAATAAATGTATGACAACATGGTAAACTGCACTCCAAGAATTATTATTGACTCCACATTGTATTAGTGAAGTTTTTTTTTTTAATCTAGAAAATCAATACTGTAACAGTTAAGGGTTTTTTGTTATGTCATTGAATAACATGGTGACAGGAGCTGACCACCTCTCATAACTTCATGAATATGGGTCCATAATAGAACAGAAATTCCTGCATGAAAAGTTTCAGTGCATTCCTAAGCTCTTTTTTTTCTCTACTCAAAGCATCTTAAATGAATCCTTATGATCCAAAGCAAACATGTAATCATCTGACATTCACGTTACGAGGCTAGATTTATACTTCAATTTAGGGTGGGCACTGGCAAAGAGGCAGGTCAGACAAATCAGGAAAAGACTGTATTTGCTTTTCTTTCTGTGGTGGACTTTTTTTCTTTTTTTTTTTCCCCAGAAATTCTCATCTAATTCTACAAGGGTGTGTCTATCCTTTTCACTTAGCAGTGTTTCTGTCAATTCAGTTGCTTAGCTTGTTTCAGAATGACTGGTCAAAAACACTTACATATAATGAAACTACTGTGTATGTACATTCTTGCTGCTTTACCTCTCCTTCTCAGTTTCCACCATTTGTAAACTGCTACATTCCAAAGAATGTGTAATTTTGCAACTCAAAATTTTATCCCCTCAAGGGAATATCATGAGGATTTTTATACCTCTTGTCTCATAAGCAATTATATTTGGAGGACAGTTTACAGCCTTAGTCTCAAAATGTTGAGACACTTCTATCACCTTAATGGAAATGTGAATGTGGAATTGATGATGATAAGCAAAAATCAGGCTTGGGGGAAAAAAAAGTCATTTTTGCGTGTTGCTAAGCCCTAAAAGAGATATAAAAGATAATTTATTAGCCTCTCCAAAAATGTAATATGACACTCTACTTCATTAAAGAGAATAAAAGATGCTACCTAATCCCTAAACAGACCTTTATACTAATATTGTTTTATATTAACTCACTACTCTGCATAAAACATTATAGATATAATGATCATAAATGCTCAGTGACTAAAATGAACCACAAATTGCTATGTTTAAATTAATCTGGCAAATGTATTTCTGCTTCAAATGTTATTCTAGACTTCATGTGAGAGTGTCTTTGCAGCTAATCCCAGTAAGAATAAAACTATGCTGGGAACTCTTCCTGCTTTTGGATTTCAATTTTATGTTAAAAATTCTTTAAGTCCATCTAACTTTGGAGGAAAACAAAACAAAAAAATCCATTAATTTAAATTCCATTCTTCAGTCTTAGAGTTATTATTTATTTATGAAGAGAATACTAAACAATATAAGGACCCAATAACGAAAGCCTTTTCCAAATGTGAGGCATCACTGTAGCTTTAAGAGCTATTCACATCACATACTTCACAAGTCTGGGCCAGATATTAGATAACGGATGTTAGCAAATACTTGTGTCCAGTTAGAACTGTGCTTACATCATTACATATTCAATAAGAAAGTAGCTTGTTGGAAAGCTTCTCTAAGAACACAAAGACTCCTATTATTTCTGTCCAGAGCCACCACACTAGCCAGAATGCCTGTATCTACATTCCATAGTGAAGCCCAGAGAAACCATTAATACCTTTCAGCCACAGGACAGATGGCTCCTTTTCACCCTTATTAGATCACAAAATAGTTGTGCATACTGATACTTCCATCTAACTTTAGCGCCACAATAGCACTTGCAGAGAAGAAAAGAAATTTGCTGGCTTAATGCCAGTTAAACTAAGTTTCTTATGCTCCAACACCATTAACATTTTTAAATACAGAGCAGAATTGCGCTTTTCATGGCCTTGTAAAAGTGAGCTAACTTAGCCAACAGCAATCTAACTCAAACTGTAACTGCTCGAAATCAGAATATCAGTGTGTTGCAAAATCGAAACGTAAAAAAAATTATTTCTTTGGAAGAAATTTGGAAACAAAGTAAAAAATTAAAGACTCTATTGTCCTAAGGGACGGTTTAAATCAACCAATAGTTTTTTATCCCAAGAATCTCCACTCTGGGGCCTTTCTGCCACTAGGGGGCCTTGCGTGCAGATGTGCAGTTTTGTACTATTTAGACTTGGAGTAACTTTTATTTTTTAATTTTATTGTGTATGCTTTTACAGTTGTCCCATCCCCTCCCTTCTTCCCCCTCCACCCAGCCCGCCCCCTCACCGTGGTCCTTGTCCTTGGGTCCTTATTAGCTCTTTGACTAATCCCTTCACCTTCTTTCAATCGGTTCCCCCCTCCCCCGCCCCACAGGGTGGGGTGGGTGTGGCCCAGTGGTAGCAAGTGGGAGAGGATTTACAAACCTGTCTGAAGGACTGCAGGGTACCTTCGGCTTCCTCTCTCTGAAGCATCTCCTCCTGCAGCCTGCAACAGTTGCACATTAACCAAAAGGGAAATGGGAAACCACTGCCAGGGGCGGGGCGGCCACACCCAACCCCCTGCCTTTAGTTCGGCGAGACAAAAGTTGAGGCACCTCCGCAGGCGGCCAGCAAGCACTGCGGCTTTCAGAACTAGTTTTAGCTGGACTTGGGCCGCAGCGAGGAAAAGCAATCACGGCAGCCTCAGGGACCTGCACCGCGGAACACCGCCACCCCACCCCCGAGAAGCCTCGGCAACCCTTTGTCTCCCTTGCAGCACTGCCATCCTTTCCTCCCTCCTCCGCGCCCGGGCGGCTGGCCAGATGGTCCAGGAAACTTTCTAAAAGTTTGGAGATACCGCGCAAAAACCTTCTACTACAAAGTGGTATTCAAGAAATCTGTAAATTGAAATGGGCGTTCTTAGGCAACGAGTGGGGGTGGAGGGGGAAATGCTAACTGTAACTTCTGGATTCCGGGCTGGGCTGCGCCACCGCAGCCACGGTCCCCACTCCCCCCGCCCGCCCGCCCGCCGCCGTCGACTGCAAACCCCCCCCCCCCACGGGCGTGGCAGCGCCTCAGGCGTACGGGGGGGTTAGGGGGGCGTTACTCTCTTCTGTCCTCCCAGCCGCCCCCCACAGCCCCCCGCCCCCGCGTGGGCACCGCCTTACTTCTCCCGGAGCCGCATTAGGTCCTCTGCCAGGTTGTCGCGCTCCACCTCCACTCGGGCCTTGTCGTTGGTGAGCTGGTCCACCTGCCGGCGCAGCTCCCGCATCTCCTCCTCGTAGAGGTCCCCCAGACGCGACTTGCCCTGGCCCTTGAGCTGCTCGAGCTCGGCCAGCAGGATCTTGTTCTGCTGCTCCAGGAAGCGCACCTTGTCGATGTAGTTGGCGAAGCGGTCATTGAGCTCCTGCAGCTCCACCTTCTCGTTAGTGCGGGTGTTCTTAAACTCGGTGTTGATGGCGTCTGCCAGCGAGAAGTCTACGGAGTCTTGCAGCAGCCGCACGCCGGGGACACTGCTCCGCAGGCGCACGGCCGAGGAGCGCGTGGCGTACACGCCTCCGGGGGACGAGGCATAGAGGCTGCGGCTGGTACTGGGGCGCAGCGCGCTGCCCAGGCTGTAGGAGCGGGAGGATGTGGTCACGTAGCTCCGGCTGGTGCTCGGCCGGCTGGCTGTGCCGGGACCGCCGAACATCCGGCGGTAGGAGGACGAGGACACAGACCTGGTGGACATGGCTGCGGAGGGCGGCGGTGGGTTAGGCGCAGCGGCGGTGGGACTGGCTCCCGGCGGAGAGGCGAGCTAGGCGCGGTGGGTGTGGGCAGTGGGAGCGCTGCTGCTTCTCTGGCGCGAGGACCCTGGTGCGAGAGTAGCAGAGGACGGGACCCCGCCCAGGGAGCACTTTTTATAACCTGCACATTCCCTCCCACTGCCATTCCAGCCAATGGGGACCCGGCAAGTCGAGCGAAGGGTGGGCAGGGAGTTGAGGCGGGGGCGCCTGCGAGCCTTTCTCCTCCCAACTGAGGAGCTTTTCGGGACGGGGCACTGTCCCGTTAGTTACTTCTTGGTTGGACTGGGACTTGCGGGGGCGTTCCTGATGGTGATGGCCCAACCTCTGGTCACCCCTGGGTGCTGAAAAAGCCTGGGTCGTGCGGTGGTCGGGGAATGGGCCTAACACTGTATCAAAGGGGCCCCGGGCACCGCGCAGAAGAGGCAGCAGACTGCGGGCTCGGAGCGGGTGGGTGGGGAGACCCGCCGGCAAAGGAACAGGAAGAGGGGGAGTAAGGGATCCTGCAGAAGGGAAGGCTCGGAGAAAAGAAACAAAGAACGCCTGCATTGAAGCGCACAGCCCAGGACGCAGGGTCGGTCCTGTGCAGCCTTGTGCGCTGTGCGCCTCGAAAGGGGGACCGCTTGGGCCCGCGGCTCTTTTCACCATCTTGTCTTGAGGTTCCTGTTTAGGTCCGTTAGGTCCCTAACGGGCTAGGTTCGGCTTTGGACCGCGCGAACTGCTGGGCGGTGGCCGAGTACAGCCCAGAGGATCGGGTGGGGTCGCTGAGTCACAGACTGTGTCACCGCGCCCTCTGCCCGCCTAAGTTGCGGCTCCGAGCGAAACCGTTAGACACGATCTACTCGGGTCTCCCAGGGCCCCGCGCAAGGTTTGTTCTAAGTTTTACCCAGCTTTAAGCTGGGCCATGCTTTCTGGCGTATGGTTCGCTTTCAGGAGAAACCAGAGCACCTGGAAGTTCTTAAGAACTCACCAAAGCCTGATTTTGCTCCAACGTGCGGACTTCTTAGCAAGAAATTTCTGTAGACCCTCCAAAGGCGTCCCTAATGGGTTTTTCTTGCTAAGTTCCCGCCCACCCTTCCCTCTGGTCTCCTCTCATCGCCCCCCTCAAGCCACATCCCATGAAACCACACCCGACTTTGAACACCCTCTGAAAGTTCTGGGTGAAAGAGGAAATTCAGAGTCTGTGGTTTCACAATCAAATTCAGTAATCACTGGTTTTTGTGTTAACAGTGGAAGTCATTAAAGGTATAATCTGCGCCAATCATGGAATTAATTAGGTGTTGCTTTAAAACTCCAGCTTGAATAATGGAAGGCAATTATATAACTCAAATGTCAGAATGTTTGGGGAAAATAGATTTACGTGTTCATTTTCATTCAGCAATGCACAGTGCCGGACCCTGGTGACTTGCCTGGGATATATCACAAGTCCTTTTGGCCTGTTTTCCAGAATCCGTGCAGAGAAATCTGCAGAGCAAAAAACTTCTGATCCAGGGCACCGACGCAGTGTTCAGATTCCTCAGATCCACCGCCCGAACCTTTCTAGCTAAGTCACTCGAGGGTGATTGCCGCAGTGTTAGTAACCTGGAGAACAGAATGGTTACCTCTAAAGGGAGAGGAATACAGCTAAGGCAAGCCAGTCTTTCTGTTATTTAACTTAAAAATCACAGGAGTTCGGGGTTTTTTTTCCTTTACTATTTGAGGACTTAGGGAGTAGAGAAAGGGTGAACTCCGAACCCTCTTGATTCTGTAGTGAACAGATGTGGGGGGAAAAAGTAAAATCCTTCCTTCTGGGAGGCATGGGAGGTAATGGAGGTTATCTGGCATTTAAGAAAAATAGTTTAGAATCAAATGAGGGGTTGATTCTAGCTTCTTGGTACAAATCACCTTTAGGCAGTATTTTGCTTACTTCATTTCAGTTAGTGCTGGCTGATGGCGCTGCCAAGGTTGCTGCAGGACCCTGTGCTGCCCTGCTCCCCTGCTGTGCATTTTTTTTATTCCGTTGGTCAGTGGAGGCTTGAGTCCCTTCCAAGGAGCATTCCATGGGCTCTGTGCCCTGGTGGACTAGCTGTGATGCTCCATGTCACCATTTGGCTCTCTGAGAGACCTTTATTCATGCCACTATTCAGCAAATGTCACCATTGTGAGTGTGCCTGGAACCCTTAGGATGAGAAAAAGCTGTCTCAATATGGGGGAAGACCTTACTCCCACCTAAAATGCTGATCCCAGGGCAGGGCTCTCAGAGGATGCTTGTTGCTTGACTCACAACGGAAAATGAGGGATCTGGTGTGATGTGGCAGTGTGCCATGTTGGTGACCACAGCAAATTCCTCAGGGATGTGGTGACTTCCTCTGGGAAGATCTGGCCCCTCCTCATCATCTCAGGGGGATCCCTTCTCCTTTCTAAACGGTCCCCTCTGTGTTCTCAGGACTGTGTTATGTCCACTCGTGCTTGTAGCTCAGGGTGCTGTAACAAAACACCACAGGCTTGGTGGCTTACCCAACAGACATTGATTTCTCACAGTGTGGAGATAGGAAGTACACAATCAAGGTGCAGGCAGATTTGGTGTCTAATGAGGACCTGCTTCCTGATTTGCAGACAGCTGCCCTCTTTGCTGTGGCCTCAGGCACACAGAGAGCAGGCCCTGATCTCTCCCTTTCCTTATAAGGGCCCTAATCCCATGGTGGGGCTCTACCTTCTGGGTCTCCTCTAAACCTAATTACCTCGCAAAGGCCCCACCTCCCAAAACCAACACCTTGGAGATTAGGCCTCCAACACACGAATTTGGAAGGGGAGGGGAAGGGACACAAACATGCAATCCATAGCTCTTGCCATATAGCGCGTGTGCAAGCATATAGCACGTGTGTGCAAGCATATAGCGCACACGCGTACACACACACACACACACACACACACACACTCAGTGTTCAGCGTGTCTTTGCTATTAGAAATTGCCATAGCTTGTGGTGGACTGAAGGTTACAAAAGCACTGTTACTCGCTTTTGGAGACTGTGTGAGACTCGGAAAAATTAATTTCATTGTGAGGTAACTTGTACAGTGTCTGGCACAGTGCCTCAGCCAATGGGTGACAGTCATCACCGAGGAGAATCCCTGAGTCTGAACTGACATCCTTGAGTGTCACAACCAATCCTGCTGCATATGTGCCCCATGTTCTTACCTCATGGAAGTAACAGTATGCAGACATACCTTTCTCGGTTTTCATATTTATTTTTTGATTGCTGTGAAAACCTATCTCAGGAGTATTTTTAAATGCTGGACTGTGAAGCTGTTTCAAACATTGCATGATGCAAGCTGTGTATAAATAAGGAGACAGTGGTACAGTTTGTAAGCCAGGCATAAAGATTACTAAATCTAAAGTATCAGCAGTGATTTTGGAATTTGCAAGCTGTGGTGATATCAGTTGAATTGGGCAATTTGAGCTGACGGACCAGCCAGCCATGCAGACAGGAGCTTAGTGGCCTGTGGGAACTTTAGGAGGGCCGGCTGGCAGGTCCAGCTCCTAGCAGGACCGCCTGGGTGGAATGTAACAAATGAGGACACGGAGTGAGTGAAGTGGTGAAGGGCATGGCAACACCTAAAAGACATGGTAATAAAAATAATAATAACAATCAGTACGATGATAAATGCTTTAATTTTTGTGCCGACTGGATGACAGGAACTTCGCATGCATTTAATTCAACTTCATTGCTCTTGTAGCATACTGCAGGATAGATTTGATCACTCATTTTACATATCAGAAGTCTACGATGAAGGCTAATGATTTGCTTGTGGGCTTCTCACTAGTAGGGGAGGGAGGGAGGAAGGAGGCAAGAATTTGACTTGAGGCCTGACTCCAAACACACTTTTCTCTTTTCCCTGATGACGACATTTTGCTTACTATCAACCAACTCAATTCACAAATATGATTTAGGGCCCTACTGTGTTCCAGGAACTGAAAAAACAGAATAATTATCAGAATCCATTGTGAAGGAAAAGATTCCTAGAAGAATTTGGCAGATACTTAGAGTATCTGTTCTAAGACATTCTAAGATCTAAGAATAAATGTCTTGTTATTCAGCTGATGTAGCAGTGATAAGAGGGGAGTTTGTTTTTCACCTGCTCTCTAAATCCTGACATTGAGAGTTAAACATTTTTACCTGGATTCCTTTCCATCTCTTCAGAGGTGTCATATCCAAGACTGTATCCAAAATGTAATGCATCCCACACCCTAAAACCCACAAGCCACAGCAACTTCCCCTCTTAACTTCCTTGTCTAATCAGGGCAACACAGCAGACTAACAAGATTGGAAACTTTCATCATCATCACCACTTCCTTAGTCTTGGATCATACAGATCCAGTGGGCGTTCTGTCCCATTGCTCCCTGATCCATTCCTGTTGTGTTGCTGTCTCTCATCCAAGCCTTCTCTACCTCGTCCCTGCAGCACTGTGCCTGCTGCCCTCCCTCCAGGCTCTCCTTACCCTCGCCACTGGGTCTGTCTTCAAGCTACAGCCCCTCTTCCTTAATAACTGCATTTGTAAGTCTCCCTGAAGATCCAAAGTGAACCAGTCAGTCCCTCATTAGAATGTAAGTTCCATGAGGGCAGAGATTTTTCTATTTTTTTCACTATCCTATCTTCAGTGCCTAGAGAGAAGTCTTACATTTATCGAACGTACGAATTGATACATGAGTAGTTCAGAGAAGAAGGAAGGGAGGGAGGCTGCACGTCCATATGTGTAACTCGGAGAGACAATACTCAAGGAAAAAACCAAGTAATTAACAACTTGTGATAAAGGTGATAAAGGAACCAGAAATTTTGCTGCAAAGGAAGTTGGAGTGCATAGCTCAACTATGGCCTTCAAAAGCCATGCTGAGTATGCACACACATCTTTATTTTCACTGCCCCCCACCAGACAGCAATGTCACTGGGACCTTAAGCTTCTCTCTGTTCCATGAAGGCACCACATTTCCCCCATGCCCAGGTCTTCACTCATATGCCATTCAACAGGTAGGTGTTATCCGGTTTCGGCACTGCCTGGGATGCTTCTTTGTATATTCAGGTAAATGAGAAACTTTTAATGCTTCAGGGAG